CCGCCTCCAAACGGGTGTCTGGGGAGACTGGAAACAGTCTTCTGCAGGGAAAGTGGGTTCTGGAGGCTGGAGGCTTGAAACCACGGAGGAGGGCGAGATGGGAGGTGCCCAAGACCCCCACTGGGCCTTGATTCCTCCCTCCCCCAGCGCTGGCCGCCGCGGGAAGCCTCCCAGCCCCACCACGTGGAGCGGGTCCAACAGGGTGAGTGTCCTTCCTCAGGCCTTGGAGGAGGTGGGGCAGCGTGAAACCCCCAGAGGCCGCTGTCCCTCTCTCCCATGGGTCCATTCTGGGGGTCAGGTACAGAGGCGGCTCTGAAATGCCTCTGGACTCAGAGTGTTTTGAGATCCTTGGAGGGGAGGGGGTATGATGGTGGCAGGGCCAGAGGACGCTGGGCAGAGCACCTGCTCCGTCCTCAAATTGCCAGGTCTTAAAACCTGGCTCCCCTTCCTGTCACCTGTGACTCAAGGTGCTTACTTAGCCTCTCTGGACCTCGGTTTCTTTATCAGTTAAGTGGGGATGGTTATAGTAGTCACCTCAGAGGGGTCCGGTGGAGGTGCAAGGAGGATATTTTGCATAGAATAAGTGCCCCTTAGGTGTCAGCCTTTATTTTTTCTGGGGTCCTTAGGTTCAGAATTTCCGGTAAGATTTAGGGGGCAGGAATAGAGGGAGGGTTCCTGACCCCCTTCCTGCCTCTCCCAGCAGCAGAAGTCCACCCCCGTGGAACGCGACCACCATCAGAGACGCCTGGCCAGTTCGGGTGGCTGGGTCCCCATCAAAGGTGAGCCTGGGACTCCTCATCTCCCCCCACCTGCCCCAGAGCTGGCTGGGATGGCACCCAGCGCAGCTGGTTGGGTCCCGGAGCTCCCTGCAGCTCCAGGCCCCTCCCAGCCCCCCACACCCTCCCTGCTCCCACAGAGTACAGCTCCGACCACCAGGCGGCCGACATGGCGGAAATAGACGCCCGCCTCAAGGCCCTGCAGGAGTACATGAACCGCCTGGACACGCGGTCGTGACCCCGGAGAGGGAGACCGCCCCTCCGTCCCCCGTCCCCCGGGATTCTGCGTGGGGGTCGGGGCCGGTGTGCCCTTCCAGCCCCGCTCCGGCCCCGTGCCTCCTGGTCTCAGGTGTGTGAGGCCCTGGCCCCACCCTCTCTCCCGTGCATTGCATGCTGGATGGGAGGGTAAGTGCGATTTGTAAATAAACATGTTGGCCCTTGGGATCCCTCAGCTTATGACTGAAGGTTGGGGGCAGAGTGGGAGATGCGAGGAATGAGTCGGGGTGTAATTGGGTCCTGTGTGTGTTTCTGGGCATATCTGGCTGGGAGTCAGACTGGGGTTCAGGCTCAGGGAAAACTCCCGCCCTTTCTAAAACAATGAGAGTAGTGGTCGGGAGGGGTGATAGTGAGCAGCCCATCCCCAGAGAAGTCCAAGCAGAGATGCTGCACAGAAGTCTTAGGCTGCGTTGTAGAGAGGAGGTGTTTGGCAGCATGATTCACTGCCTGGGAGGACTGCCCAGCCTCTGTGGGTGACATCTGGATCGACTTGGTGCTGATTCCTGGGCGCTGACCTGAGACTTCTGGGTTTTGAGCTGTGATGTTGCTTCTGAGCTGAGTTCTCAAGGGTCTTGGTTCAGGGTCGGGGCCTCTGGGTTCTGAGCGCCATCAAGGTGGGGGGAACTGTTGTGGTATTGTGGGAGGCAGAGAGGGAGGGGAGGCAGGTGGCAGGACACAGGGTCACAGTGAGTGCACCTTTATTGCAGGGGGGGCAGTGGGGTTTCTGACTGGGTGGGGGAGATATGCAGTGCCTCAGTCCCTGTAGTGTGGCCAAGTCTGGATGATTTCATAGAGCCGGTCGCCTGGAGAGAGCGTGTCCTGCACATCCCGGTGTCCTTTGACCTCGTAGTTGGGCGTCAGGGCTCCCCGGGCGACGCCACAGGCCAGCAGACTCTGGGCTGCCCTGAGGGCTCGTAGTGGGGGCGCCCGCTCTGGGGGAGGCAGAGGCAGGAGTGAGGCTGGGGTGCCCTGGAGGGCAGAGTTCATGTGGGGGCTTCCCATAGTGCCCTCCCAGCTGGCCTGCTGGAGCCCTGAACCGGCTCTGCCACTCCCTGGCAGTGACTCCACTTCTCTGTGCCTCAGTTTCCTCACTGTGAAAGGAGAGACTCATGGCACCTGCCCACTGGGCTGTGGGATGGTAAAATGAGTTCCTTTCAGCCAATGTCGGCTGGCAAGGTTCTCACTGATTCCCCTTCACCTGCCCCCAGACCTCCTGTTCCTACCCGCTGCCATTTATCCAGCAATTCATAGGTGCCATGGACTCGCCTAAGAACTTGATAAAGAAGAACTAGTCCTCACCAGAACCGTGTGCTTCAAAATGGTCATTGTCCAAAGGAGGAAATGAGGCTCAGAAAAGCAGAGTCACTGCCCGAGGTCACAGAGCTTGTAGGTGGCAGAGCCTCTGAATCACCACACACCACGCCCTGCAGTCTCCCAGGCCCCACGTCGCTCCTGTCCCGACAGCTGGACACTCACTTACCCGTGTAGTTACCCATGAAGCTGATGCCGATTGACTTGGGGTTCCAGGCAGAACCTGCGTGGGCGCCCTGTCTGTTCCAGCCCCGGCCCTCATACACAAGCCCATCTTCTCCTATCAGGAAGCTGTAGGGGGTGGGTGAGTGAGGGAGGGCTTCCTGGGGGAGGCTCCCTCGCCCTCCACTCACCCTGCCCCTCTTCCTGCCAATCACACACAATCCCCCCACACCCTCCCTCTTCTTTCTCGATCTTCCACAGTATATAATAACACATAATACAATAATAACAATAATAACACAATAACAATGACAGTGGCCCCTGCCATGTGCTAAGCACAGCACTGCATGCATCAATTTTCCATCTTCACAGCAACCCTGTGAGTCACTACTGCCTCCATTCTGTAGATAATCAGAGAGGAGCAGACACCTGCCCAGGGTCACGCAGTGGGTCAGAGGCAGAGCCAGGATTTTCATCCAGGTACCCGTGACCCCCACCCATGTGGTCTCACTCCTTGCTCTGTCCTGCCTCCCTGGAGGATTTGTCCCACTCTTGATTTGATGGGTCCTCACATGCAGTGCTCTGAGGGAGCACTGTTATCATCTCCGCTTTAAGCTGAGGAAGCAGAGACTTAGAAAGAGAGGTGATTC